TTATTTATTTTTTATATATATTTACTATGCAGCTTAAACTCATAGTGATCCTCCTGTCTCAGCCTCCCCAGTGCTAAGATTACATGTGTGTGCCACCATGCCCAGTTTTGGGGCCAGCACAGCATGCAGTACCAAGGATTGAACTCGGGTCCTTGTACTTTCCAGGCAGGCACTTAGACCACCCAGCTGTCTCCCTAACCTAAGTTAAAACAAAACAAAACTTATTTTTAAAGGCCCTTGAAGAGGGCTGTGTTCATTCTTTTTTTTTTTTTTAGTAGTGGGGTGGGTCCACCCTTTATGGAGAATAGTGAGGAGGTTCCTAAAAGAATTAAAAATAGCCAGGGTAGGTGGCATATGACTATAATCTCACCTATCGAGGAGGCTGAGGTGGAAGGATCCCAAGTTCAAGGCCAGCCTGGCAACATATTGAGACCCTGTCACACACACAATAAAAAGGTGGCAGGAGGAGGAAGGGAGGAAGGAAGGACAATAATAAATTTAAAAAGAACTACTTCTAGGCCCAGCAACTTCTCTTCTGAATAAATTACAAAAGGAGATGAATCATCACCTTGTGCAGATATTTTCAGCTTCATGTTCATCCACCAATATTCATGATGGGCAAGACTTAGAAATAACCTAAGTGTTCCATCTGTAGGGGAAATGGATAAAGAAGGTATGGGATGCGTGTGCACACACGCACGCACGCACACACACACATACATACACACACCCTGGCAATGGCAGTGCACTCCTGTAATTCCAGCATCTAGGATGCTGAAGGAGCTAATTCAAGCCTGCCTGGGCTACAATGTAAGTTCAAGCCCAGCATGAACTGCAGATCAAAGACCCTGCCTCAAAAAAAGCAGAACAAGAAAGAAAATAACAGAAATAATGAAATACTATTTAGTTGTTAAAAAGGAGGCAGTCCCCTATTTTCCCAGCCTGGATGGGCCAGGAGGATATTACACTTAGTATAATAAGACAGACGTGGAGGAAAAAATATGACATGATACACTCCTATGTGGAATATATTTTCAAAAAAGGTCAAACACACAAGACTAGAAAATAAAACAGTGATTACAAAGGGCCGGCAAGATAGCTCAGCAGACTAAGAGCCTGCTTAGGCAAGCACAGAGACTAGGGTTCGATCCCTGGCACCACATGCCGTACCAGCCCCACCTCTGGGCACACTGGGCCAGCAGCTGAGTTTGGGCATGGTGGCCCATGCCTGTAATCCCAGTGCTGAGAGGGCTGAAAACAGGAGGATCACTGCGAGTCCAAGCTGCATAGTAAGACCCTGTGCCAAATACATAAAGAACAACAGTGATTACAACAGCTGGGAGGACAGGAGCAGGGTGCGGTGGGGGGAGGTAGCTCAGGTCCAAAATCGCAGCTGGGGGGAGGGCAAGCCTGCAGCTGTCCTGGACCCTGCCTAAGTGGATGCAGCTGTGTTATCAGCTACGAGGTGGTCACCTCGTTGGGCCCGGGAGCAGATGACAAGTCCTCAGGATTTAAGTGACCAGAAATGAACTTTCCAGGACAGCAGATTTCTGCGTGAAGAAGGTACAGGCTGCCCAGCTGCTCCCCACAGGGTGCTGCCCAGGTCACAAAGCTAGGACACATCCTTCCACCCAGACTGCCTGGGCTCATCACGTCCTAGAAGTTACTTAAGCGTCAACTACCTGGCAGTGCGGGAAGGTCACGTCTTGTGCCTGACTCCTGTGCTGTGATTTTCCCTGGTGCATGTTAATAAATGTACCTTGTCTGCCAACAACAGAAATAGGATGATAGTAGGGCTTTGGGGTACGTAGCCCTCAGCTGCTCTTGTCACCAGATACGTGACTGCAGTAACACATGTGTTCATCTACCTCACTATAGTAACCGCCTTCTTAGCTACGCATGTCCCCAGCATCAAATGTACAAGTAGAATATATTTTTAAAAAATCAAGTGGAAGCAATCACCTTCCATGCAGCTCAACCCTGGCCAAAGGTACGGGGTTAGCTCTAGGGAGGCTACAGATTTCAAGAGAAAGCGCGCCTTTGCGTGCCTGCCCCTTGGTGCCCGCGAGGTGCACTTAGCAACAGCCCAGAGGGGTGGACCTGCTTCCAGGCACAGACATCTTGATGTCAGAAATAAATCAAGAACTGCGTGAAAGGGGACCTCCATTTGATTTCTCATTATGCAACTTTGCTTCAGCGAAAAATAAAAATAAAAATAGATGGTGTAAATCAAGGCAGTGTTTGAGTATCTGGGATTGTCTGGATATTTTTTGGCTTGGTTTTATTTATTTATTTTTTGTACCCCTTCCTAGGAGGTAAGGTGAAGCCATTTGGAGGAATTGCTTTATGCTAAGTACCTCCTGGATCATTTTTCTGTTTCAGCTAAAATGTTTAAATTTCTGAAAAATCTAATTATTATCCAAACCCTTTACTGCCTAATGATTTGTAATACCTAGAAGAGGAAGAAAGAAATGTTTTCATTAAGTCACTTTAGTGTAATAAGGTGACAAAGAGACCAAAATCTATTTTATATCTCAGACTCCTTGATAGCAATGGAAGGATGGGCTATGTGCTGACTGACAGAAAGATGCACGCGGCAGTGGCCCTGCATAGCCCTGTCCTTTAGTCACTAGCCACTTCCTCCCTCCTCGGCCCCTCCCTCTGAGCAAAATTTCCAGGAATCCCTGTCCTGGGTTTGCAAGGGAACTGTCTAATGGTCAAGATCAGAAATGCCAGATGGGAAAGATGGTGTGGGCTGGGGCAGGGGCACGTTCCTGGAGAGCCAGGTCAAGTTTAATTTTATTTATTTACGTATTTTTCTTTGTGAGTCATGTTTGCATTGCATAAGGATCCTGTTCCTTACAGGGAGTGTTGGTCCTTGGGCTCAACACATAGCAATCCTTTCTTCTTCCCTCTCTCCTCCTTCCTCTTCCCTCCATCTCTTGGTCTCCTTTCAGGAGTAATTGTTATGCAGATTCAGAAAATATTTACTGGATTTCTTTTTTCTTCTTTCTTTTCTTTTCTCTTCTTCTTCTTCTTCTTCTTCTTCTTCTTCTTCTTCTTCTTCTTCTTCTTCTTCTTCTTCTTCTTCTTCTTCTTCTTCTTCCT